ACTGTGCTCTTTACCTTATRTGTAACCTAAACCTCCTCTGATTCGGTTTCTTGATGTTTCCTTGAGTCCTCCCACTGCTCAGAAGAGGGAAGAGATCTGTACCTACTTCTCCACTTCCTCTCATCAGGATGTTGAAGACCACARTGAAATCTCCACTCAGATCTCCTCCAGGCTGGACAAACCAAGGCACCTCARCCACTCCTCATAAGGCTTCCCCTCTAGTCCCTTCAACAGCCTTGTGGCCCTTCTTTGGGTGCTCTCTAATATCTTACTGCCCAAAGCTGCCCCCAGCACTGGAGCTGAGGCCACCCCAGGTCAGAGCAGAGTGGGACAATCCCCTCCCTTGCCCGGCTGGCCATGCTGGGCCTGATGTCCCTCAGGACACGCTTGGCCCTCCTGGCTGCCAGGACACTGCTGGCTTATGGTCAGCTTTCCACTGACCAGGACCCCCAGGTCCCTTTCCTGGCACTGCTCTCCAGCCTCTCATTCCCCAGTCTATGCACACACCCAGGGTTGTCCCATCCCAGGTGCAGAATACTTCACCTTGTAGAACTTTATGTGGTTGGTGATTGCTCAGCATTGTTACAAGTCAAGATCTTTGCAGGGCTGTCTRGGAGTCGACAGCTCCTCTCAATTTAGTACCATCGGCAAACTTATTTAATATTCCTTAAGAGTTCTACATCCATATTGTTAACAAATATKTTGAAGAAAGCTGGGCCAAGGATGAAGCCCTGCAGAACCCCACTAGTGACTGGATGCCAGCCTGCTGTTTCCCCATTCGYTATCACCCCTTGTGGCTGACCCATGAGCCAATTGCTTACTCATCAGGTAACACAGTTATTCATCTTTGGCCTGGAKGTTTTGTCCAGAAGGATCCTTTGAGAGTGTCAAATGCTTTGCTGAAGTTCAAAAAGATTACATTTACTGGGTTTCCTGGATGAACTRGGAGGATTACACTCTTGTAGAAGGAAATCAGGTTGGACAAGCAGGACTTCTCCTTCATGAAGCTGTGCTGGCTGTCACTGATGACTGCATTGTCCTCTAGGTATTTTTCAATACTTACCAGAATAATCTTTTCCATTATTGTACCAAGGGCTCAAGTGATACTGACCTGTAGTTTCAATGCGTTGACTTCTTGCCCTTTTTGACTGCTCAGCTGGGATCTCTCTGGATTCACAAGACTGCTTGAGAATTGTCAAGAGAGGCTTTGCAATGATAACAGCCAGCTCTTTGAGGATTTATGGATGAATCCCATGTGGCCCCATAGATTTGTAGGGGTCTAGCTGTAGCAGCAGATCCTGCACTAGTTCATGGTCTGTTGGGAATTGATCATTTTTGCAGTTGTCCTCCAGCTCAGGGCACTCAGACCCGCCTTGGTCCATCATCTCTGCTAGGGACAGAGGCAAAGAATGCAGTGAACACCTTAGCCTTGTCCCTGTCCCTGTTAAAGGTGACCATCCTCATCCTGTAGTGGGCCAGTGTTACCTCTGCACTGCCTTTTGCTATTGAGCTCTCTAAAAAAGYTCTCTGTGTTGTGCCACACAATTCTGGCTAGAATACAGTTGATCTTTGGGTGCATGAATTTTCTCCCTACAGTGGCAGCAACATGTCCGTATTCCTCCCATGCCACCTGACCTTGCTTCCACTGKTCAGGTGATGTGCTTTTTTGCCTTATTTTTGAGACAAGATTCCTGTTYAGCCAAGGAAACCCAGTAGATGCCCCACCTGATTGACTTCGGACATTTGGGAATTTCTGCTCCTGTGCCCTTTGGAGGGGRCATTTAAAAAATGGCCACCACTGATGGTCCCCAGCACCTGCAAAAACATTTCCCCATGAGACCTTGCTTACTGATTCCCTAAGCAGCTTAAAGCTTGCTTTCCTTGTGTCCAGAGTTGAGGTTTTGCTGGCACTTTATCTTACTTCTACAGAGATTTTAAATTCGATCACTTCATGTGATCATGATATTTTAAATTCAGTCACTTCACTGTGGACAAGACTTTGGTGGTTGTGGCCAATCTTCACTTTGCTCCCAACATCCACCCTGTTGACAAGCAGTGGATCAAGGAGGGCATCTTTCATACTTAGTTCCTTTAGGACCTGTTCCATAAAGCTGTCATCCAGGTTTTTAAAAAAGTTTCTTCATGACCTCTCTGTGGTCACRCAGGAAAAACCACAGGTTACTGGTAGTGTGCACTCTCTCTCTCACACAGCGGGGTGTTTTGCTTCTGGTCCACACTGGTGGGCCCTGGGATGTTTCTGTCTTGCTCAAGTCCTTTGAATCTGTCTGCAGTCTTTCCACAGCCAAGGTGCAGCCAAGAGAGTGGAACAAAGATCTTGGTATTGCTGAAGTTGGGTAGGTACCCGACACGCTGTTCATTCTGCTTTCATTGACATCAGTACCAGTGAGTTGATGTGTGATGATAATTGCACTCYGTACAAACTCTGGCAAATGGAATGTGTACACTTGACCTCATCTGGGTCTACATTTGCTGCTTGCTCCCTCCCCCCCAGACTCTTCCCTTTCCTTACCCCCTCTTGGAGCTGGAGAGAAGAATTGAAAGCTCAAATGGTGAAGATCACAGGCTGGGGTAAGAGCAATTTACTGGAAGGAGCAATGAGATCCGTATTAATAACGAAGCGTACAATATAGACAAAGGATTCACGCGTGATTCCTTGGAAACAGCATTTCTCAGTTGCATGCTCCAGCTTAGAGCCAGCATTACCTGATGTATCCACTTGTCCTCCTTCTGCCACACTTAGYCAACCAGAAGGGAACCCTTTCTCCCTGGAAGACTCCCTTTCCTCCTCCCCCAGCAATGACATGAGGTGGTAGAGAATAATCTCCGTGTCCTATCCATGCCCTGCCTTGTCTACTGCAAAAATTAAATGTGGCCGGAGCCAGGACARGCTACATCTATCTTCTCTTAACAAGAGTCAGGTTGCTAGGTGGAAGTGAATTCCACTGTGCCTCTCTCCTGATCTCCACRTTTGTTATCTCTGAAGTGATGGCCAGGTTTGTTTTGCATTAGTGAAATAATTTTTACCTCAGCTGTCAGCCAAACCAGATTTTATCTACAAGAAGCTRAAGGACTCCTGAGCTATAGTAGTGCACAGGGTGGCTTCAGCAGACCATGTTGAGTATTTGTTACTTTTACCAAAAAAAAAGAAATACCCAATCAATTTTTTAATTTTATGCTTGTCTTTCAGCAGAATGGTGTTGGTTTTGTGGGAGTTTTTTACTGTACTTCTATGATCAGTTTCTGTGCAACAATTTTGTATAGTTTATTTTCTCTCTAAAGTGCTGGGATGAATTGTTTACATTCGTTATTTCCGTAGTTCATTCTGTGATTGTATGTGTTATAAAATACTATTTACTACTCAGCAAATTAGACTGATGAGAGAATTAACTCACTTAGGAATAAAGCTAATATCCAAATTGTTCAGTGGTGCCAAATTCCTTCCTTTTTTAATGTGGCAGTTTAAAACACAGCAGGATAATTAAGCCCACTCAAGMTACTCCCTTTCCCCCACCCTCTTCTGATAGTGGAAGAAACACTAGGGAAGATTATAAACTGGAATCACACTTCAGTGAAAAATCACAGTAATGACAAAARTATTAATAAAAGAATGTAAAACAGAGAGTTTTGCACAAAAAAAGGGTGTTTTCCACTGAGCAAACAAAACACTTCCCAAAGACAGCACCCAAGRTTTTCCCAGACAAAGTCAGAAATGGTGACTGGCCCCATGCTGGGCCACATGGTATATGGGAAAACAAAGGCAGTGTATGTCAGGGAGAGTCAAGGCTTAACCTCCCTCTCSCAGCACAAAAACATTGGAAAAGCAAGGACAAGGCAAAACCTCGTGGTRCCTGGGAGGGCTCTGTAGCAGGTCAGGGGAGCCTTGTCCTGGGCCTKGCTTCTTGGGAGCAGGAGTGGAGCTCTCAGCAGTTCTGGCTGCAGCTGCTGTGGTTGCAGCTCATCYGGACTCTGCTCCACTCTGCCGCTGTTTTCCTTTTCTGTCTTTAGCACCGACCTGAAAAGGTGCAGCTCAGAGGAACTGCAGTGGCAGAGGGGTGCTGGCTCTGCCAGGCTGACCCCAAAGCTTCCACAACTCGTCCCTTGAGCCCATGAAAGGACAGCAGCCCTGCCACTGCTGGCCCTGGCTCCCTCCTGCTGAAACCATACCCTTCAACGTGATATGGGTGGTACAGAATTAAACAGTGCTGGAAACTCCACCCTTTTTCTCTTTAAACACTTCACTCAAACATATTTATCATCTAGAAAAATAATCTTCCTATTGAACACAGGCAGTGTTTTGTCATGAATGTGCAAATAGGACTTTTCTATGCTCATTGCAGGAARTYTGGAACTAGATGACCCTTTAAGGTYCCTTCCAGCCCWGACTATTCCATGGCTCTATGGTCTATTTGTGTTCRAAGAGTTAAGAAGAAAGCTGGGTGCGTGGTGATCCCATTTACTGAGATTGTATGTTGGTTCAGGCTATTAAGCCAGCTCATCGGACAGTTTCGTGGTCAAAAGGAATCTTAAAATGCTTGGATTTCAGAATCTTAAAATGCTTGTTTTAATCTGTGCTGTAGATGAGTGGAGTTTTCATTTTGTATTTGTTTGGCTCTTGACATTATACTCTTCAACATAAAGTTTTTTCAACTGAGAGTCAGTGGGGTACATTTCTAGAAACAAAAACTGAATATTGTATTAGATTTCTGCAAGAGTTAAAATACTTACATKTTTTTCTGGGACTGAGGTCTCATTACAAAATGTAAATATTGATTAGACTTCTGCATCCAAATTCTGCCTGTCCTGTGTTAGGACCCAATTGTTAAGGGATGCCTCTGCCTGAATTGAGGTACAAACAAGACCATATACCAAAGTCAATTGTATGTATTTTTTTAAACCATAAATGTGAGGTAGAGGCAGAGATAGAAATAGAAAGAAGGGGGAAAGAGAGTGAGGGATTCAGTGAAAGATAGCACCACCGCATGGATTACTGCAGCATCCTGCTCATCCTTCTTCACACGCGTGTGCCGAATGCTGGGAGTTCTGAAATGTTCCGTGAGGTATAGATGCTGTTCCCATACCATGGGAAAGCTGTTCCTTTCTCACAGTTTGCCGTGGTGGGAATTTTGTCTGGATAGGTTACCCCGATCTGCTTCATCCGGCCTTGTGTCTTCTTCTTGTTGCCATCTGCATTTTTCCTGCAGTCTGCGGGGTGGAATTTGCCCAGTGTGCTAATTCCAAACCTTCACRTCCATTTAGGTCTGGTATTAATATCTCCCTATTTGCCATCTGTGTTTTTCTTRAGTTCCTGTTGTGGTGGCTTATTTTATGAGAACTTCCTTCTCTGACAGTGTTTGAGATAGTTCATTGTATTGAGTCCTTACACCCTGAAGCCTGTAGAGGCAGAGCACATCCAACAGGACATACAGTGGGATTTATTAGGGTGCTAGTCAAGTGATAGTTCTTGATCTGAAARCCTGTGTGTCTGTAATCACTGCTCAGTACCAGCTCAGTACTAAATCATGCATCAGAAGGGTATGTAGTATTTGGCAGCAATCTATTGGTTTCTTTCTGACTCATGCAGAACTAATTTTCAGTTACACAAATTAGAGAGGGAAAAGAGGGGAAAAAACCCACTTAAATATTGTTCATTTCTTTTGGCCATTTCTTTGATCCATGTGTTTTATCTGAGAGGAAAGCAGTGTGTCTAATGGGAAACTGTAATATTTTATGAAACAGTGAGACTTGAAGATCTTGTTAGGCAATCAGTACTTCAGCAGAATGAAATGCTGTTGCAACAGAAGGAAAATTATACACCAATTATTTACCCAGTCAAGAAAAATTATGCTCCATAACATCAAAGGGCTTCGATTAATGAAATAACGGAAAACTGCTTTTTACCAGGCCAGGAAATATTTATTCATCAAAATGCCACAGGCCAAGAGTTTGAGACTGTTTAAGATTATAAAGACAATTTAAGATTATAAACCCACAGCAACACATGTAGGCTATATGTGACTGGTTCTAGAAACAGACATGAAAAAAAGAGCTGTGTAATGCTTTTGCAGATTGAAATTAGTTGTTGCAAGTAATGAACTCATCCTGTTCTTTATTATCCCTCAAATAATGTTTTCAGTATTTTTGGGAAAATATCTTTTCAGCTGGAGTATTCCCAGCTCATGTGTTTGTTTTCTGTACATATCCCAATCTCCAGTAATTCTTCTTATTTTCATAAACTTCAAAACTCTCATYTAATACTTCCTTTTGCATTGGATTCTTTATTTAAAAATTTTTCAATTATGTTATCTAATCCAAACAAGCATTCAAAGCAAAGTGGCTGAGATGGCAGTTCTGAACTGTTTTTTTCCAGTAGTGTGCAGGATTAACAGTTTTCTGTATGTATCAGGTGAACTGAATCTTGAAAGTTAAGTCCTCTCTGTTTTATCTTTGGCACAAATTCCGAGGAAATGAATATGCAGCGTTAGTAAGGCAGAACTCTTAGAATCTGAATCAGCCCTTATTCCAACAGTTTCTTTATGCAAAAGGTTAGGGCACGAGAAAACGGATTAAAAAGGAAAGGTTACCTGGAAGTGAAGTAACAATGCAGCAGAATTGATATATAATGTGGAGGTGAAAGGAATTCTTTCTGAGCACAGAAAATGCACAGAGACTCAGAAGGGAAAAGTGAATTAGTGARAGGCAATGCATGTAACATACTAGCTTTCTTGCAGAAGTGGTCTCTTGTTATGTACTCTTTCACTTATTTTATTTTCGACAGAATGCCTGTGTAAAACTTGCATTGTATTCAGCTGCACCACATTTGGTCCATAACAGCCACAGAATGCCTTTGCAAGTGTAACACATGAACCAGGATGCAATTCTAGTCATCATAGAAGCCTAGGGGTGAAAAAAACCCAGTAGTTCCAGGCTCTAAGTAGCTCTGTTAGAGATTGATATGAAGAGCTTACCCCTAAGTTCCCCTTTTCTGTAAAACCTGAGGGCAGCTGGGATTCAATTAATATTCCTTTCAYGTAATGGATGTTCAACAGGAAAAAATCAGACAGGTCTGTCACATGACATTGGAAAACACTGGAAGAAAATCTACTTTTTAGCTCTGGCTGAAAGTATATAGGCAGGATATAGATGTCATTTCACAACATGGGGATTTTTTCTGTAATAATTTGGCATCTTACATCTGCCACTCTAATCCTCTATGTCATAGATATATTTGAAACAAAAACTGATGACAAAGGAAAGCTGAGATTTATTTTCAGAATTTCCAGAAAAAAAGAAATTTAAAATCATTGGACTGAAATAGGAAATTCATACATTAATAGAGTATCAAAAGAAAACATTRTTTCATTACTTAGTGCCTCCAGCAGTCTTCTTCCCTTCTTTAATGAAATGGAACAGTCTGTGCCTTATTACTTCCTCCATTTAATCKTGTTAATGCAGTCTGCTAAGACTCCACTTTTGCAACAGCACAGGTGTAATTGTGAATAAATAGGCTAGTAGGAAGACTACTGTTCTGCTYCTGGAAGTCTTATGTATTTACAACAAAATGTGTGATACTCAAACCAAAATAAAATCTGATGTAACTGGTAAGTTGAAATATTTTTATTCTTCACCTCCTTAACAATATGGGACATTACAGTGAAAAATAAAGAGGGAAATATTAAACATGTACAAGTCCACCCTTGAGACAACTGCACTTGGAGTGTTAGTAAAGATTAATTCTTCCAACTGCGTTTAAAAGATGGCAAATTAAATTGGTAAGTAGACAGCTGGTAAGTAGAACATTTTTTCAAACAGCGACAGATGCAAATCCAAGAATATCTCCAGCTGATTTAAATGCTTATCAAAAGATGGGGCAAAGATTTRAATAGGAATGTGCAAAAGTGAAAATCCATAGTGATTATCAAAAATATGAAGAAATATGAAGACATTAAAAAAGCTCTAAGAAGGCAACATCGGAATTATTTCAGAGTCCTKTCAGACTGAAATCACTGTTTTTGTTTGTTATTGCCTGTGTCTCTTATAATTTTGCCTTGTAGGAGTTGTAATATATCTAAAGGTATTGCAAGGAAAATGTATTGGAAACTGTTCCTTTGACTGTCTTGGCAGTCACACAAATCTCAGACAATGCAAAATAGATCCTTATTTTGCTGGGCTGATATAATCTTAACAGTGCAACAGTCCTCATTTTCCTTGGAGATTTTGTATGGCATAGAATTCTGCGTTTGAGTGGTAACTGGAAGTCTCGGAATTTGTGTATATCAAAACGAAACTGTGCAGGTAAAGGGGGAGGAGAGGAGGGATACAAAGGTTGTCAGTGTGCTGCAACTGCAGTCCAGTAGCAAAGAGCTGGAGAATGAGCATGCTGCCACAGGCAGAAGAGCTAAGAATAGCCACTACACCCTCCTTCTTCTACATGAATTAAGTTCTAAGTTAGTTTCCATCCCATTCCAGCAAGCAGTAATACTTGGCTGGTTGTGAGGAAAGATAAGGTTGTGTGTGACCCCACAGCCTGGAAAACAGATCTTCGCAGCATGTTCCTGCAGCATCTCTCTCTGTGTTGCTCRGCTTTGTGACTGTACAGCAGAGATCTGTGCGTATCTAACACAAGGAATTAACTTTAAGGTTCTGACTACTATACAACCATTTCAGCCAGGTTTGACAGGCAAAATGGATTGTAAATATTTATCATGGTGTCTGAACTCTTCTTTTGCAAAGTTCACTAGTCCATTTACCCAGAAAGGAAAAAAATACAGCCATGGATTGTTGTCTTCAGGAAAGAATAGGTCAGAAATACGTGTCACATTCTTAAGCAGCTTTCTGAGTAAGAAGTAAGGGGGGGAAAATAATTTTTCCTGCTAAATGCCTGATATATTATGAAAGAGTTTAAATAAAACATCCACAAATTACAACAAACAGTTTGCAGAGTAAATACTAAGTATAATTCTCRTAGGAAAGAAGTTTGATATGCAACATTTTCTGTATAGGCTGCCATTTTTTGGCTAAGTGCACTTTGACTGTTTAGAGTTGCGTGGAAAACATGGTCATCACTACTCAGTCATCCTGACCAGCTTATATAAACACTAGCTAAAGCTGCTGAAGATTATTTGCAGAACATTGGATCTGATGAGCTCAAATATAAGATAGCTTGGGTAGTATAATATTTGGGATTACCATAATAATCTCTTTAGGGAAAGTGTGCAGTATCAGCAGAACCATTGCTTGAGTCTTTGAGGGAAGCAGAAAGTGTACAGTAATAATTCAGCATATATTATATACTTAAACCTTTCCCTATGAATATGGCAAATTTCTGAGCTGTTTATGSGGTCCARGATAAGGCCTTGATCATTTGGTTMAGTAACTGTGGTTTAACTCACATGYGGAACCCAAATCATCAGTTAGGCAACATGTTTTTGTTGTGTAATAACCTGTGTTACTGTCGCACCATCCTTTGAAGTTACCCACAAAATTTCCATCAATTTGAGTTAGTAGGGAAAAGAGTTCATAGATTAATACTGAGAAGTCCACATTGAGAAGCAATGAAAGTGCTTCTATATGGATGTGCAGAAGGCTAGGTGAGCTATCAAAGTTTACTGGTCCTTTGACAGTTGCTCACCTCTGTGAGCACAGCCTTTCAGGGATCAWGTTTTGAGCCATAGCTTCTGACAAGGGATCTGAGTTCTGTTTTCTGGGATCTGGGCAATGGGCTGTACTCCATTAGTCATCCCTGCCCTGCAGATGATACAGGCAGTTCTGCTTCTCTTCTGCTTCCTTCCTTGCCTGTGAACCATTCCAAAAAATCTGGGAAAGCCCTGAACACTTGCACATTATGCACTTCCGCCACTCTGTTTTGTCCAAATTGAAGAAACAAATAAGCTTCTAGGCAGCAATCTGACCTTTGTCAGATTCCTAATATCTTTGGTGTTTCACTGAGTGCTGGGCTGACATTCTTGGCCTCAGAGCTGCACAGTATTTTTTTGGAGTCCAGGAAATTGCATCACACCACTGTCTTGTGATAACCCAATGGAAATCCATATTTTCTATTAATTTACAAATTATTTAAATTAAATAATTAGTTCTGCAGAAAATAAAAGATACCTAATACAAAAGATATCATTATCTTTACAACATTATATCACTGCTCTTAAGATCAGTACTTTTATTTTTGCTCACAACTACCTCTGCTGTACAGGGAACCATCCAGCCTTGGAGATCTTGCAGCTTTTTTAGTTGACCRCCAAAACTAATTTCATCTTGAGTAGTTATCTGTAATCTTTTTAAGCTTGAAGTTCTTTTCTCCTTTCTAAGRTATGATAAGAATCTAGGGGTCCAAAAGTATTTTAAAAAGAATGTAGCCCTTGGGAGCRAAAGCAGTTCTTTCAAAAAGAATGCATCCTTTTGTCTAATAAAAGGTTTTAAATCTGTCTGAAAATCTCATTTCATTTGTGTCCCTAGACCATCACAAACATAAGAACCTTTTACTGTTCATTAATGTTTAAATAATAATGTTGATCCAGCATAGTTACACTTGGGAAAGGAAATCAACAGTATTTGTACAAAACATTTTTTCTTATTGGAATGCATATTAGCAGTTATGGAAAAGGTTGGTTTACTGTGTTCATTTATCTCCATATAATTTCACCTTCTCTGCTAAATGCATCATTCTTTCCAGACTTGTTTCAAAATTACAATGTAACAAAAGATAGATAATGTGAACAATTTTAAACTACCTTAATCTTTGGAGCAACCATAATAATTTGAACTCACATTATTCATCTGTTTCAAACCTTTTGACAGAGGTCGGTAAACATTACTGCAGCCATGAAACTCATGAAGGTGTCTTCCAAAGTTTGTATTTACAGTTCACATATAGGTATGTTCCTTCATATGCAAAAAGGCTAATATGTAATGTAATTTTAAAACTTCCCATCACTCTACAGACATTTAAGGTTTGATCTTTCATTTTAATAGATTTTAAATGCAYACAATAAGATTTTAAATGCACACTATGTAAAAACTTTCCATAAAAAACCTTGAGATTTCAAAATATTCTTTTCCAATAGTCTTCAGAATACCCATGCAGTAAAAGGTAGAGTTCATCTGTGAGAAGAGTTGGTATACAATTTTTTGTATTGTATATATATATCTTACATTTTTTCAGGGTATGTTGTTTGTGGKTTTTTTTCTTTGTTTGTTTKGGGGTTTTTTGGTTGAGTTTTTTGATAAGTTTTTTATTTTGTTTTGGGGATTTGAGTTTGGTTTTGCTTTGGGGTTTTTTTGRTTGATTGCTTTGTTTTGYGGGTTTTATTTTTCAATTTCTCCCCATTGGAAAATCATGAAAGAGGAAGGGAAAAAGAAAGTGTATTACCAAATGRCCTTCCAAGTGACACTGGTTATAAACTAAAAGATCTTCAGCTAAGGGTATAGGACGATGAAGGAAATCAGACATGACAGTTGCATGCATTTATGCAAAAAAATCCCTTTTTTTTTGCACCAATGTATCCCATTTCTATTTTGAGCAGTGATCTATCAGGTTTCACRGTATCCAAATTCCAGGACTATGACTTACATTGATATTCATGACWCATTTTTGCATATCATGGACAGATGACATCTGCCTGCTCAGTGAGATAGAGAGCTACACAAGAACTGCTGCTTCTTGGGATTTGTATATCTGCTCAAGAGATGTAGGACTGGCATATTTGAGAATCATCAGTTTTGCTGCTCTAACAAAGTCCAGGGGGCAGATGCACAGTCAGAGTTTAACGTATCACCGCAAAAGTGCTAAGATTTTATAAAAACATTATTTCTCTGAGTGAATTTTGTCATATGACTTTATTCTAATGGCTCATTTGGGGTATAATTGACAGCTGATACATCTAAAGACACATTAATTAACATCATCTGGAGTTAATTAATTTGCTGAGATATTACTAACTATATAGGTCTCACTGTATAAAGTGTGACARAGGCTGTAAACACAACTAGTATCCTCAGCTGTTTATTTTCAGATTATTAAATACAAATGCACAGCACCTRAAGTCTTGCTGTGAAACCAAAGAACATCAATTCCAGTTGCAAAGAGAATGCCAAGATCTATTTGACAGCCAAACTTACCATGGAAACTTTTGTTGACCATAACTCGCAAGGAAAAAAAGCATTTCCTACTCACAGAGGTAGGATAAAAAAGACACAATTGGCAAGTAGGTAAAAATGCTGAATGTACTTAATTTGAAACCACTTAGGGATAGAAACATGAAAATTAACTAGGCCAATCTACCAGCATTTTTCAAGGAGCTCCAACAAAAGGATGATGAGAACTCTTGAAAGGTGAAGCAACTGCTTTTTTCACTGCCAGTTCKCTGATTAGGCTTGATGCTTCCAAGTGCAATCCCTCCTGGATCAACAAATTAGAGAAAGGACTTCCTTTTCAACGTTGATGCCTGACATGTTTTATTAACATTTTTGATCAAGAGCTAAATATTGAATGCTCTTTTTTCTCCCTTAAACCAAAGCTACAGAATAGGGAGATTATAATCCTGTCTCTYCCAAGTGAACTTTTTAGGTATTAAACTGAAATGATATAAAACATGAGTTTTGGTTTTTCCTTTTAGGCATCGTATGCATGTGAGTGACAATTCCCACAAATACACATCAGACACATTAGCTGCCTTGTTGACTCTTTCTTTCAAGAAGAATTCAGAAAATTAACTGTGTTCCATTATGGATTCATTCCTAATTCCCAATATAACATCTTTTGAAACCTGATCATTTTCCTACTTTTAGGATAATGAATTTTGTGCCCAGGAGTAAAATGTTTCACTGCTGAAGAAAAAAAAGAAAAAGACAGCTCAGTGTACTTTGGATTTTTCTTAGGGCAGCATTTGGGCTAATTTTTATTTGAAGATTTTTTAATTACCTATTTGTTTATGTCCAAGTGCTCAGTTCAAATATGTAAGACAATTCTGAATTTGCTTCTCTGATAGAATTCCCCCCTGCTTCCTGTTCTCCTGAGAGAATGAATTTGATTCCAGGTGATTTTCCCATTGGCTGTGGAATATAATTACTAATCATGTCAATTAATTTTTATTAAATTACATTACAATTTGTASAATGTTACATAGAACTGGAGGCAGTTCGCTGTCGTAAAGAGCTTTCAGCTTAAGTATAAATAAGAGACGAGTGCTGTGCATTCTATGGAGCTGAGGAAAGAAGCTACAGCTGGTGGTAGGGAGCAATGTATCCAAACATTATAAAYGTCTGTTTGAACATCTTGGTGATGGTGGTTTTGCAGGCTTTTACTGAGTGATGCATCTCAATGTGTTTATTGAAAAAACTGGACAAATGGACTTAGGCTGAAGCTTGCTCGAAAAGAGGCAGGAGCCACTTTTCTGGCTCATAGTGTCAGAGTAATAAGGGGTGAGAAGGCATCTGGAAAGCCTTTTGAAGTGGACCTAAGAAGTTTGCCCTTATTCTTTCCTCATGTTGACTGCATTGGGAGAAAGTAAGTCTTGTTCCTGTCCTTCTGGAAGTTACCATTGTGGCAACTCTGTTGTTGTTTCTTCATTCAATTTTTGCCTCAATAGGAAGAAAGTGGCTCTTAGTCAATACATTTTATATTTTTTAAGAGTTCAGAAGRAAGGTGCTTATTTTATAATAGCTGTAAAGAGCGACTGGTACACAGCTSCCTGAACTGTTTGTTGGTCTAATAGGTTGAGGGAATAAAAACAATGTAAGATCATAGGTGGACAAACAAAAATGGGATATGCACAAAGTGTAGTAGCTTGTGTCAACCAACAATATCAAAGTTGTGTATTCAGTCATCMTATGGGCCACTCACTTAAGAGTTGAACTTGATGATTCTTCTGGATCCCTTTCAACTCAGGGTATTCTGTGGTCTGTGACCTGTGATTATATCTGCAGAAGAAACATGGTACAGTGTTCATCAGAGTATCTCAAGACTCTTTTGGGAATACAGTGGCTGCTTTTTTTATCTGGCTTCTACAGTCAACATTTTTGTTATGAATCCTGAAATTGTTCTGCTGTTTTATGAAAAAAATACCTGGGGGAGAGTAGCAAAATATAATTTTCCAAACTTACTCATATGCCTTCTGTGTCTTAAGGATGTCTTTTCTGTGAGTTCTTTAAGGCGATATGGTAGGAATTTCCTAGACAATCTGTACTGTACTAATTTATAATGGTTTTGGAATAAAGGTTTGAATTAACTGAAGAGCCGCAAGTCTAAAACATTGTTTACATATTAATTGAAAGTCAGAGCCTAAGCATTTAGGGATTTGATCCACAAATGCAGAGCTTACAATTGTAACTCATGCATGAAATTATTGATTGAGTACAGTAAAAAGTACTGTGCTAACTGCAGTCAGTGTAACAGGATCAATTCATCTTGTTCTGTTCCTATCAGAATCACAAATGGTATATGCAGGTCACAGTAAAAGTATCTTCATATTTTTGTTGTGGTTTTTTCCTGTCTTGTCTTTTCCTGAAGATCATCTTACATTCTTATTTTAGTTCCTACCTCTGACATTGACATGTCTTTGAAACATAAAGCAGCACATGGTCCCAGAGCTGAGACATTGTCCATCTACATGAGTCTGAAGCAGAGACCTGTGAGCAGTTATTCAAACTGGCCTCACAAATAGCAGTGCCTGGAGGCACATGTCTGAATGTTTTTATTATCCCAGTGGCAWAAGGCGTAGGAATCTTTATGCAGGATCAACCTGGAAAAAATTCCAAAGAACTGCAGGTGCTTCTCTGTTAAGGAATTCCCTCTATACAGCATGTATTAGGAACAGTTTTAAAACTGGTTTGCTTGCCTGAGCAAATGGCTTAAAATGTGCTAGATCAGAAATAGTATGTCAGGAAAATGAGCTCACAGTGGTGAGCTGAAACCTCTTCTGCCATCCATGCAAGTTTTTCCTCCCTTGGGAAGTCCCTTGGGATATGCTGTCCCTTGGGATAAGCTGTCCCAAGGGAATAGTTGATTGACTTTGTGCAATAGAGGGCTTTCTAGTGTTCTCCTTGTTCAGTCCCCTATAAGCCTCTACACTAAATAGGAGGATGAAGGAGTAGGGTATGTGATGCACCTTTCAATGGGAACTGTGGTGGTGGCTCACTGGGACACTCTACTGGGTTTTGGTTGTTTAACCACAAAGTGATAGGTAGAGGGAAGTGGTAGGAAGGAAACTCCTGGCTACTGCGTAAAGAGACAATGTAGAAATCWGGCAGAGTCCAGGCTGTATGATCTTATTTTCACAGCATCCAYTGTACAAGCGTATTTAGTGCCTAACTTACAATGTGCAATCATTTTTAAGTATGGGTTTTTTCCAGATTTTTTTAATCTTTTCAACAGCCCAGAAGTTTGAAGTGGGATAGTCTTGGGATTAGCAACTGCACAATAATCTTGTTTTCCTCTCTCACTCCATTTTAGAGTTAAATGTGTCTCATTMAAGTACTAGCAGTTAGCTGTCCTAGTGCTTGGGGTAGCTCTACTAAAAAAGCTTTTCTGCCTGATGAGTGACTTGAGTTCTGGAGAGCTGCTACTGTTCCTGCCCTGGACATGGAGAAACAACATCTGCCAGGGGTACTTTCCAAGTGTAATGCTGCTTCCAAATAGGAGGAGAATAGCAGTAAGGCGTGCATCCTAAATAGAAAAGTGAATGAAGGGGAAACAAAATAAGTTTAAATATTTCTTCTCAATTCATCCGAGAAGGCATAATTTTTCCTTACATTTCAAAATATGTTTTCTGCCTATGTCACGAAAAGAAAGACACGAGATTCAATGTAATCGAGGGAATCAAACAGCTGTGTTAGTAAAAACAAAAAGTATGGAAAATAGTGARATGCTTTTTCCTTCTGAGAATTAAATGACCACTGTTTATAAAAGGAKCTGAAGCATGTCCATATTTAAACATTTTCAGATCATACCTGACTCTCCTAGTACACAGCTACTGGCTACCTGAACTCCATCTGTGGGCCTTGCCTGCCCATGACCGAGTGTTGAAAAAAATAGTTTGAAGAGATGGGGAGRTTGAGCAAGCTTTTACCAACCTGTCTCTGACAGTGCTGTTAGTGACTTTGTGTCTTGAAGATGCAATTTGAAGAAAGTAAAAATGTCATCTTCTCTACTTTGCTTTAAAAAAGGCTTCGAAATACACCATTTATTTCTACCTTAAGTAAAACAGAAAGTCACRAATATTTCAACTGTGTGAGAAAGGACAATCCTGATTATTATGCAGGACCACTGATGACTTGTCTTTAGCAACAACGATGAAATTAACCAGTAAAAAAAAATTATTTAAGAAAGGGAATATGAGGAAAAACTTAGTAATTGTTAGGCATCTTAAAATATTGAAGAGTTTTGTGGGATGTAGCAAAAACTACATAATGTGAAGCATTTAAAATTGGCCAAACCAAAATAGACATACAGTACAAAACAGTTTTGTATTTTTGGGGGTCAACTGATTATCTGCTCTCTCACTCTAAAGATCATCTTTTGGGAAAAAAAAAAAAAAAAAAAAAAAAAAGAAGTTAAATACAATTATATACCAAAAATATCTGTCTTCTTTTCTTTTTCAGCACAAATTGAAGTGATACCATGCAAAATTTGTGGTGATAAATCCTCTGGAATACACTATGGAGTCATCACATGTGAAGGCTGCAAGGTACGAGATTTTAATACAGCACAGTCATCATCATTTGCATTAGCCTCAGGCACCTGTGTACAATGATACACTCTTACCCGCTTTCAAGCAAGTGGTGCCAAAGGCTGTAAAGCCTACTGCTGATAAAGATACATTTCATGCCTAATTTTTCTAGTTGCTTTCCATTTTATCATATAGTCTTTAGAGCTACCCTCCTTGTTTGAAACATGAATTAATTGCATCTGATGCAGTGTAAGCTGAAGCTGGCATCTGTAAGTCACTCCTGTCCTACCTTAAGTCATCTTTGAGAGAGGTGGATTTCTTAACTTGTTTTCTGTACAGCCCATGTGGCATTACTGTTGGCATATGCATTTTAAGAGTTGAGAGGGTGTGCATTTGGTCCTTTTTTATCTTCTTTGCGTTATCTGCAGGCCAAATTGTAATCTCCAAAAGGAAGAATGCCTTACATTAAGAGCAGTATAAACGGATCCTTTGTCTTCTTCCTCATAGGCTTCAGTGCAGGGCAATTGCTGGGAATTGGAGGTTAAAAAAAGAAAAGGGAGCGGGAAATGCATGAAACTCTTCCATGCTGCTTAAATGTATTAATGAATTATCTCAGGCATTAGTTCAAGTAACAGAAATCAGACCCCAAGCAAAGAGAAGAAGAGCTTCAATTTTGATTTTARAAATTGTCTGTAATTTTATTATCAAAGGAATTACATTATTATTCCTRACAAACCAGAATTTCAAACTGCATGTTGGWATTTCAGTTTTAATTGTAAGTGGGAGATTACAAAGATGGAGAGGCAGCATCTCTGATTGCTTCTATGTGGAAATGTAAACTAGGACATTTGAAAATGGATGCCTATTTGCAGAGTGAAATRCAAGTCTGTACTTAATGCTTTACAAAGTATTAGCTGAAAAATCTGAAAATTTGCACCCATTGCAAAAGAAATACTTTAACACCAACCCATTGAAAGCCCATATGCTGGTATATGTCTGTTCTTTCAGGAACATTAACAATTGTAAGCAGAACAATTTACAATGTGTCTTTGTCTTTCTGTGGCACTGGACTAAAAATAAGCATCTTCTTACATCGATCACATGAAACAGGATTAAACTAATTGATCTGATACTTCAAAATCGGCACAAAAGCTACAGAAGAAAACTAAGCAGAAAATTTTCTCTCAGTACTCAGAGCCCAGAGAGTGTTTAGGGGTGTAGTCTCCCACAGAAGTAATTAGGGTTAATGCTGGCCCTTGTGTGTGCCTCAAGAGGAGATGATACCACTGTGCTGTGTGAGTAGACTGCTTATTGAGATAAAAGGATTCTCTTCCACTTTTAACAGTTTTAACCTTGTTGGGTTTGTGCCAGTTTTGCTGTATCAGATCAATTAGTCTAATCTTGTTTTGTGAGCCTGTGTGAAAAATATAGGTTGGTTTTTCACATCAGTTCCACTGGGAGGCATCTCAGCCTGTCAGAGTTGGGGTAAGCGCTGTTTCTGGCAGGGCAGCTCTGCTGTCCATTTAAGTGCCTAGCATTTAAATAACTRAGCACTCGGCCTGCATATGGGGTATCGCTGGATTTTTTTGTCTCAAGGTCTTAGAAATCTGAAATAATTGAAAGTGGAGGCCATGTGTGAAAGAAGGGGAGTTAGAATCACTCCATAAGCATGCACACATGTTGACCCAGGCACCACGCAGCTGCAGCATTTCAARACACAGCACCCCAGAATTACAGTGCCAATGGCAGGGCTACATGCTTCAAGGAAAAGGAAATCCTTTAACTCTGTGTCCCTGTGCTGCTTCAAATCAGTGTTATAAGTGCTTAAGGGCCATCATAAATATTCCTGTTGGTTTGTATGCATGCCTGCCTATGCTGAATGTGCACGTGCAGAGGACCTGCTGCACCCACTGAGTCAGTTTGCAGCTCTGACACTATTCYTCAGGAAGGGGTGAAACCTGAAGATGAGTTTACATCCCATCTGTCTGTGGCACMTTCTCTGCTAAGAAGCCTTTTGTCATTTCTTGTGCCTACATCCAGAGCAAAGTACTTTCTGCCACTCTTTGGTCATGACTTAGAAAGCAGTTCATTGGGATATTTCCTTTCTCAGACTGGCTGTTGGTGCTGGATGAAGTGATCTATTCAAGATGCAGAAAGACTTGCTGTCCATGTTGGAAGCACTGGGAAACCTGCCTTTAAMTCTTTAGCTCCTCAGTAATGTGCTACATCTTTCTTCATGCAAAACGGAATTATTCCATTATTCCATTTTACTACATTTTAGTAAATGTAGCCAAATCTATATAAAGAGACCATAAAAATGAAATTAAAGGATTGTGTATAGATCTTATGCAGGAGAATGAGAGCATCAAATTCTCCTCAGATGGATTAATTACCTCCTGTAAATTAATTTTGTTATGTAACCCYTTGATAGATAATATGGTCCTTTTTTCCCTGGGAGGGCAAATAAGAAACAAATTCCTCTGAGATGAGATCAACCTTAATGGGARCAGAAAGTACTGCAGGAGAAGGCACTGTCATTGCTAGATGGTTGTGTGTGTGTTTTTTAACCTTATTTAATGTTCTCTCAAATCCATATTGACATAGATGCTGCTAAAATCTAAACCTAGAAACAGAAAACCCTTCACAAGTCAAACCAAAATTGGCTGTAAACTTCAGTGAAGAGATCTGCAATTAGCATCCATTTATTCTTAAATTAAATACACCTCCACCATTTCAGGAGCATTTTGGTCAGCTAAGATCAATTAAGTTTCCATCAGAATTTTTCTGAGTTCCCCCAAAGGACACCTATTTTCTAAAAAGTGCAAATCATAAAATTTAATTTATGTTTTAKATACACTGTAATCATTGATAGAGCAAGCTTGAGCCGGTTCAAGTGTGTCTCTATGCTTGACTTCAAGAACTAGCACTGCCAGAGTCCTTGCTGGAACACCATGCCTGTCACCTGTTACTGACACCCCACAGCACCCTCATGCAGTTCGAGTGAGAGTTCACGTGTAACCTGTAGCAAGTGAGTTCAGCCTGTAGCATTGTCACCTTGTGAGTTTTTGCTCAGTATTAACATCCACCATCCTGTGCCGAGATACGCTGTTTTTTCCCCGATACATGAAGTCAGCTGTTGCTTTCTGACTTCATTCCAAGGTGTTTACAAGCCAGCCCAAAAAGGCACAAGAACTTTGGTATAATTTCTGGTGACTGATACAACTGCAGTAATCATATTTCTGCTGTTTTGCTACTCATGGCCTCCTGTAGTGGCCAGGCTATCCTTCAGCTTTCCCGCTATGCAACCRACAGCTGATTGCATTTAAAGTTGCCATACTGATTAAGGAGCTTCTCTATTTTGTTTTTTTTTTTTCTTACTGGACTTGCAGGTCCTCCTGACCTTCTTTTTTTTTTCTTTAATTTATTTAGTATATCTTTTTTGTTTGTTTGTTTTTCTTCATCGCTGGGTTCATTCTTCTTGTCACCTCAGCTTCTTCATGTTCCTTCTACCATAACAGTATCTTTTGATACCACTCTTGGCACCACCTCATAGCAACTGGAAGCTCATAAGGACTCCTATACTTCCCCTCTAGCCCTCAGATCTCTAGACAAACAGCCCATGGAAAATRCCATTACATTCTCATGGTAGTATCTAAAGGTGTTGCTTTCTCCTTTGTGTGTTGGCTTTACTTGATACAGTCATTATATCCTGGTGCTTTTGTGAAGCTTGTATTTGAATTACTTCACTCCTGAAGCATATGCCTGTCCAGATCAGATCAACATTTGCCAGGTTAAAGTGAAGCGCAGATTTCAGCTTCTCATGCTGTGCATAGCCAGAAATAGTTACTAGCAGTCTCTTCATTAAAGGGAGAAATTAGTCAAAACAAGTGCTTTTAGGTCAYCTTTTACACTGAAAAGCTTTTCCTATATTAGGAGCAAGCGTTAGATTATACATGGTCATTATTGCACAATAAAAATGCATTCTCTAACATTACGTGAGTTTTAACAAAATTATATTCTTTACCRAATAATGCACCAGTCTTACTGTAAGTAAATGTTCTTTAGTACAATGCCACCATATCTGCAGAGACAGCATAAGTAACAGTGCACTAAATAAGAGTTTACTGTGGTTGTTTGCATGCTTTTCWGTGTGTGTGTGTGTCCCCATGCACACATGTAAGTGCTCGTGGTAACACTTGGTCTTTCCTGCTCTCTTGCACCAAGGGGTTCTTTCGGAGGAGTCAGCAGAACAATGCATCCTACTCCTGTCCAAGACAGAGAAACTGTTTAATTGACAGGACAAATAGAAATCGTTGCCAACACTGCCGACTGCAGAAATGTCTTGCCCTGGGAATGTCTCGAGATGGTAAGGAGTCAAATTTGTGCCTCACATCTAAGCCCTTTGAAACTTTCTTCACTGCTGACTTACTTGAGCTCCCTGCAGATTTCTGCAAAAAGAGAGAGGAGAAGCTCCGTGCTTTGTAATGCGTGCACTGTGAGACAATCTTTGCCATTCGGTTAACAATGAAGGCTATTTTCATGGAGAGGGGTGGGGAAAATCACAAAATGGAGAACAGCATTAGTTTGGAACAGAAAGTGTTAAAAGCATAATATGTTACTCTAATCAAAAGCACAGATCACAAAAAAAATCACCTCTGGAGAGGTGGGTTTATATCAAGCATTATATTAAACATTAACATTTATCTTAAATATTGATGTCCAGAAGCATCCATTTCCCTGAGATCTCTGAAGGTCTGTGGTAGTATGTGGGCACAACCCTACACAAATTTACACCTTGATAGCATTAGGGGTTTCTGTTGTTTTTTTTTCAAAACACTTGACAAAGTATTTTGTGTTGGCAAAAAAACCCATTTCTTTTACCTGCACATTGCCTCTTGTCCCTGTCTGGGTCCATAGAAGAATGTTTCCTAGTTTAGCACTGAAAATGGATCCTACACCAGAGGAAAACTCCACAGTCTGTGCCATCAGAGGATCCTTTGGTCCTTATAGACCACAGCTGCAGGCAGTAGGAGGCTTGGRCAAGGCTGCCCACAGCTAATAGCCCTAGGCACCACTCCTCATGCAGGGCGTTTCCAGCTCACAAACTGGAGTGAGAAAGTATTAAAAGAAGTGGAAGAACACAAATGTTCTAATTTTTGAAAGTTTATATTACTTTCATTTGCCTGGAAGCAGTTTTCTGTCTTTAAAGGTTTACACAAAATGTGTATTTTGAAACTAACTTGTTGAAGGAGAAGGAACTTAAAGAGCTGTTTCTTTAGAATGTCCACAGATGATAAACTTATTTAAAATTTGGACCATAATGGGTCCTCTTCTGATTCAGTGTGTCATATGTCTCGCTGAAGTGACTTGTTTCCCAGTCTCACCAGACTGGGAGGGGCTTTGCAATCTGGCCTTTAATTTATTAATTCTTTTTGATCCTAGCATCCAGTTTACATGACACCTTAGCTCCTAATTCTTCGTGGTGATTAAAGTAGTAACATTTCAGCAATTTAATAGCGCATGCTTTCCTCTTGAAAGTAGTTTCTTCCAATACAGGGTCATTTTAATGTAACTGGCAGTGCTGTCTTCCCAGCCACTATTCTAGGGACCACTGCAGACAGACAAAATGAGTGATTCTTCCAACAGCATCACTTTATTCTCTCACAGTTTATGTGAGGGTCTTTATGATTATTTGTGATTTAAGAATATTAAGAGCTTTTGCAAATGTAAAATTGGCTGTGTGAATTTTTTTAACAGAAAACTTTAATGTGATTTTTACCTGTCAGTCATATAATAAATTCATTTTTATCATGAAGAGGCAGGATGCTAATTGATGGCAGCTGGAGAATCCAATTAATGAATATATAATGATGATAAACAGTGGATGTTTGGTTTTATTACTGAGGCCCTACATTTGAAGAACATACACAGTTGCATTATTCAAACTTATTTAAAATGCAGTCATTGTGTATTGTCCATAAGGGTATGCAGCAYACCATGGGCTAATTCCAGGGGCAGGCTGAGTTTGTGAGGTAGCTTTCAGCCTGAGTGTAGGGCTGCAACTAAACTGAGATTGGCAATAAGAAAAAAACCTTCTCCGTGTAAAAAAAAAAAGTGAAAATAAATCAAAGCAGCTGGAGGTTCAAACTCTCCTCAAGGGCTAAATGAGAGTCCTGTGCTAATAAATAATAATCAATCTGAATTGATCCAGATTTCAGATGCACTAGAAATACAGTGTAGAAAATCCAGTTCATAATACAATATTTGTATTTCTGGACCAATGTCCTCTTACTTGTTCTGATGAATTTTGCTGAATGTATGTCTCATTTGTTTTAGAGCACAATCAACAACTGCCTCTGCTTAAAGATCCAAAGATCTAGCCCAGCAGAAGACCAGAATTTATAGAGAGATGGGGGTGGAGAGTGATAATCAGCTATGATCTACTGTATATGCAGGCTGTGAATTTACTCCTCCTAGTTCCACAGCAGTCAGCCTGTCACCTTTGAAAATTTCAATCTCGGTGTMATGAACCCTGTTTCTGGGGAAGGCGGTTTGCCCTCTTATATTTTCCCCCCTTTCTCATCAGAAGGAGTGCATGGATTTGTGCATGGAGATTATTAAAATGGAGATTGCATAAATCCCTAAGACTTTCCTCAGTGAAAAAGATGACATTCATTTGTGCTGTTTACCTTCAAATGTGTTACTTTCCTCTAGGTTCTAACCTGTAAGTTTTTTTGTTTTTTTAAGTAGGAAGATAACACCCCTTTCAATATCCATTGAAAGGATGAGATAATAAGRCTTTGGGGCTTGTTTTCATCCAGAATACTAATCTTGTTAGTGCACTGTTTAAAGGTTTGTGGAAAGTTAGTAAATGAATGTGGGTTTATAGACTGTAGATTTCCTACCGCTCTGGGTTGTTGTTCAGTGAACACAGAGATAGAAAAGGATGCATGGTCTTTTTAACATTCGGAGTGGGAATGAGTGAGTGACTGAGGCCCTCCTGTCAAATAGGAGTCATTGCTGTCACCTGGCAAATTCAAGTACGCAGTGTTTTTTCCTTTATAAGATGCACATGGTGTAAAGCTTTACATCCTTTCTCATTTCCACAGAAAAAGATGTTTCCACAGCAAAATTAGCCCCAAAAGTAAATATCAAAAGAGTGGTAGGGTTGAGGGGAATTGAGAAAAATTTAAAGACGATAATGGTTCGCATTGTGCTTTGCTTTTCAGCTGTGAAATTTGGAAGAATGTCCAAAAAGCAGAGGGATAGCTTGTACGCTGAAGTGCAGAAGCACCAGCAGCGACTGCAGGAGCAGCGGCAGCAGCAGAGTGGTGAGGCAGAAGCCCTCGCCAGGGTTTACAGCAACAGCATCAGCAATGGCTTGAACAATCTGAATAACGAAACTGGCAGCACCTACGCAAATGGGCATGTCATCGATCTGCCGAAGTCTGAGGGTTATTACAACGTGGATTCTGCCCAGCCCTCCCCAGACCAGTCTGGGTTAGACATGACTGGAATCAAACAGATAAAGCAGGAACCTATCTATGACCTCACCTCTGTACCAAACTTGTTTACCTATAGCTCTTTCAACAATGGGCAATTAGCTCCAGGGATATCCATGAGTGAAATAGGTAAGGAAAACTCTTATTCCTGTGGTGCAACGCGTATATATTTTTTATTAAAACATCATACGGGTGTTCCATACACAGGTACTTAGTAGTTAGGGGTTCACACATGTGTGCACACATACGGAGAGTAAAGGAAGGAAAATCAGTTTGGGACTAATTGACATAAGGCAGTTCTAATTGACTGAGGCAGTTCTGTTTCTACCAAAATCTGCAAATTAATGCAGTTCTTAAACCCAGCAGTTCATGTTCTGTTTATTAAATAGGAGCATCAAAGCAGGTGATGAGTCAATCATAACCAAGTGATAATTAGGAAGGGGCTTGTTTCAAATGAGCTCRTTACTAGCAGGGTTAAATGATCTCTTCAGCTACCCGTCCGTATTCTTGTCAACACCCAGAATCCCCAYAGCAGTTAATTCTAGGGTACTTACTGTGAAAAAGTACCAGTCCATACTTTGGCTGCACGGATGTCAGTGCAGAGCAAGCTCCCTAAATTCATGAAGTGCACAAACTCTGAATGTATTTTTGTGGATATCCCTGCTTCTCTGCCTGAAGGCCTTGGAGACCTGTCCCTTGCTTTCGGCTTTGAAAAGTTACAAAGGCCTCTGTGTGAGGTGAGACTTTTGGAAATGCAATGACTAATGGTGATTTTTGTCTGAGGAGGGTTTCTGTTCATCTAGTGCTTCCAGTTGTACTTCACCAAAGCCACTGGAAATAGTACTTCTATGACAAATAAATAGCATGAACGAAGAGTGGCTTTCTAATTAGGTGTTTCAACAAGTGAAATATGTTGAATTAGTTGTGGCTGAGTATATAATCGAAGGGTAACACTTTTTGAACGGAATTTAATTAAAAAGAAAGAAGAAGGAAAGAAGTCATTTTGGGGGCACTCGTAACAAATTAATTAATTTCAAATCATAAAAAAACCTCTGTAGTTCTGGCCTGACTTTACTGCCTCATACACACTGAGATCTGTAAATTTGTGTGTGTGCTCAGATCACCTGAGGACTCTGAAGTTATGGCCTCCACTCAATATAGATTGCAGTAATAGTGTATATATAGTAGTTACTGTCCAATAAAACAATGAAGTTGTGGCTCACCATGTTTTCTGCCCATGTATGCTCATGTGCAGGAGGCTCTATAACATGCTGTGTGCTAAAGTTGCAAATTTTGCAAGATGAAGTTCTGCCACTTTGTTTATTAGGACATGTTTAATTACCATATTTGGCCTAGGCTGCTATCCACTAAAGCTGGGCATCCACAGTGGAGGATTAGAGAGGAACACTTGCTCCAGCTTCTCTCTCAGCTCTCATGGCCTCATGAGTATTGTTGGCATGTGGCTTGTGCCTACCTCAGTCCTACAAGAGAAGCTCCCAGCTCTGCCAACCAGCTGAGGGACAATTTACACAGTCCTTACGAGCTGTTTCCCTGCAGACCCAGTATGAAAGAGAAGTGTTTCCAGAGGGACTCAGAGGAGGTCAAGAAATGCAGCAGTTGTGATAGTCCATGAATTCAGGTTTGTGCTCACAGAAATGAGCCCAAAGAGAGAATATGCACATGGCACTATATCCTTAGTGTCCATAGAATCCCCTGAAGTCAATGGGACCTTTTGACTTTTGAGGCTTGCTTAAGTTCATCTCTTGCTGCTTCACTTAGAAATAATGACTTTCTTTTCACCCGTATTTTTTTCTCTCCTAGCTCTAAACCAGTGAGCTCTAAACCCACCCCACATTWCCCAGTCATTCATTCTGTGTGTTATCCAGCCTGTGTTCCTTTTCTCAAGCTCACAAAGCAGGAAAAAGCCCAGAGCACATGGAGCACTACATGTGGCAAAGGGCCTGTCTCTACGCTGACAGCAAGATTCAGAGGCTCTGGGATTTACCTCTCTTCTTTTTGAAATTGAAACTAGGGCTCCTGAATCTAGGATTTTACACAAGTACTGCCGTCTGTCATTTGTGGCACCTCCAGCAGAGGAGTAAGGGTGACGGTGAGAGATCATGTAGTGTAACAAATCAGCTGACACAACTGGAAGAGATGCACCATAAAATATTTGGATTAGTGCACAAGTGAATGATGTATTTAAAAAGAAACAGAAARTGCCTCTTAATGCTGCAGCGGATTGTTGGACCATTTGGAGAACTGCAGTCTTGGAGAGTAGGAGAACACTAAGCACCAGGATGTACTGATTTCGTGTTACAGTGTGCTTGAATTTCGCTGCAGAATTGTGTCTCACTCAGTGACATTTAGGAATAAACTGAGCTCTTGTTAAATAGAAGTTACTACTTTTAACTGTTACATGAAATCATAGAGAATATGTAGGAGATAGAAAAGCTATACTGCATTGATCCTTGTTAGCTGATAGAAATTTCTTTCTATCAGTACCAATATGTCTAGAGATCTAGTGAATCACTAAATATCCCCAGATCATGATAGTTYTTTCCTGCACTGATTCTTTTCTACCAGACAGACATTTCCAGTATTCTTCCGGCCTTTACATTCTTCAAATAAATGTATGTATTTAAGCACAACCTCACTTGCCAGTTGCCTGATCTCGAGTGCAACTATCTTATTTTTTTCCTTATGAATGAATGTGTGGGATCTCCCTTCATCCTTGAGTTACTAGAAGTTGCTGTAAGCTCTCTGAGGAGCAGACTTCTTCACAGGCACAAAGAATGAAAGTAACTCTATGCATCTTCTGCATTACATGTCAGCCAAAATCCAGTTCACTTACTCCTTTGGTGTTAATGCTTTGCTTGATTCAAAYTCACTTCTCTCCTATGTAGGGCATTTTTTATTAAAATACAGTTGGCTGCACATTTCCAAGTTTGAATCTCATTTTCTCTTTTTTATTTTTCTAATCTTTTCAATTCTGTCACATTTTGTCTCAGTCTTCACTGATGTTGAGAACTTCTTTCAGTTTTGAATTGTCTCAACTTAATTGGCATGCTATGAGCCTTCTCGTTCAGATTATTATTAAAATGTTAAAAGTTTGTAAAACAAGTCCTAACAATGGTTCCTGCTGCACCTGACTAAAATACTTGCTACAATTGCATGTATTACTTTAGTATTTACATTTGGCTTGCCGCCCAAAGCCAACTTCTCTAAAAAATCCAAGTAACAAGTCTTCCTTTCCCTGTCAGTTTGATGCAGTTATAAAAATAATATTTYCTATAATATGACATAATTTATACATCTTTTGCAAGCTTTTTTTCACATGTTAATTTTCTAGTTCCACCAAAATGCAATCTAAATGGTTAGAGCTACTTTGATCTTTAACAGTTCTGTGCTTTAATTTGAATGTGAAAGTGTTCTTTTTCACAGACATACATTCATCTACAGAAGACTTTGTAGTGGAAATGGAAATTGTTCAACTTAACAATTTTTTACACAGCAACTGTTTTGACACATAGTATTAGAAAGGAACGKCAAGCAAAATATAGCTTATCTTGCATTGCATGCTTACTAGTATCTGTATGCTGTGCTAGCAAATAGGTGTAGGAGAAAGACATGCCAGCAAAGTTATGTGGGGCTATTTCACACATAGTATTATTATATTTCTCCAAATGAGTTAAATGGGCCAGGATACAACTGCACRTTATCTGATCACTATGAGAAACAGGATAGGCAATGTCTCCTATGATCGGGAGGAGAGGGAGTATAAYCAAAAGCATTTTCAGATACAGGCACAAATTTCTCATGTATCTGTCAAAGCTTGTGATGGGGAAAAGTTGTGCAAAATCATGTAGTTTCCCCTTTAGGTGCATGCTCCAGTCAATATTCCAGTTCCTGAGACCAAAAAAAAATCCGAAGCGTAAAGAAATCACTCCAAAGCTTACGTAAACCTACAGTAGCAGAACCTCAGCTGCATTTCCAGTCAAGATTGCTTTTCTTTAAAGTGAAGTATTTTTGTCCAAAACTCAAGGCATTTTGTTGAACACTTGGTATGGATTTGGGTGGGCTGAGCACAGAATAAGTTGGGTGCAAATGAGTTAGGCAGGCTTTGTCCCTGCCTGTCCTGCTTTCCATGGCTGGCATGATCCAGGTGTGTTTCACCTGGAGGTAGTTCATAAGACAACTCTAGAGTGTACAGGAGGTCACAAATCTCAGCCTCCATAATTACAGATTAAAGTGTTTGCATATCTTTGCAAGAAATTTCTTCGACATCAGGCTTGTATGAAAGTACCTAATGGCTTGGAGAGCTTGTATGTCTACCAAAACTAAAGTAAGATTGGTGAGCTTAGGTTTGCTCTTCCCCGCTCCCAGTCCCTCTGTATCTGCTGTKCTCCGTGTGTCTTAGGGTGGGCAATAACTCTCCAAGCCTAAACTGGAATGCAGGAGGCATCGCCTGCCCTGTGCTGTAAGCACAGCTCCTTTGACCCAGACACACACATTATTAAAAAAATATTACTGAAAAAATGATTATAAAGGAAAACTTTAAAAACTTTTTGAGGACTGACTCAGATAAGGTATGCAAAAGTCCTCTTGGTGACCACAAATTATCTGTGCATTTAGTCATCATTTAACTGGATTCATACATTCATCTCAGSATCACAGTGAACAACTTCATATTTACAAATTTATTTAATTTCCATTGTTGCAATATCATATATGCAGCAGTTACTTCRCTCTCTCTTGAAGGGAGCTCTTCACCCATTCTAAAGTCTTCTGCTGAGGATCTGTTTGAAAGCCRGTCCCACATCTTTCTCCTTTCAGCACAAATCTTCTCATTAACTTTAGAAGAATTTTGTTTGTTCCTGCATGTACTGTTTATGGATGTCCTCAACACTTAATGTTGCATATTCAATATACGAATGTTTATCAGCATCAGACTGATGTCTTAAAATGTCTGCTGTGCTTTGGTTTTGAAAGCACTTCCTTTTGCCAGAGCACCTCTCCAATGTGATAAGCATTTCTTGTTATTCCTTAACATCCTTCTCTTTTTTCCCAAGGTTTATTCCCTGTGCCAGATCAGGTGTTAACAGCCAGCTTACAGCACATATATTTGG